CATAATCTTTACATATAAAGAAAGGCGCTTATGGAAAATAAAAGCTTAGTTTTGAGACTGGTGGAACACTGTAGAGGAGAACTAGACAGTGAGTGGCCAACTCCAAGAACAGCCTCTAGGACTCCTTCCAAAGCAAACTCTGCTATGTCCGCTGCTCCGCTCTGCTCCATACAGCTCAGTACTAGAGGGCTAGACCAGGCTCCATGGCCTGGAAAATTACTGCCGCGTACTTACCAGCCTCTCCTGAAACCAGCCCGGAAGCGCTTTCAGAAAACCTTGTGCTACAAAGCAGTTATAACCATGCACAGTGTCTGAACAACTCCCAGGACAGGGAGTGGCAGGCAGCCCCAGAACCACCAAGCAGGGGAATCTCAGCTGAGATTGAGGGTTCCTGGGTGGTAGGCAGGGTAAAGATGGCAGATGTGTTGCTGAGGTTCTGCTGGCCACATCAGCACAGGGACTGAGAGACCATGGAAAGGAGAGATTCTAAATATGGGTAAGGTCACCTATTGTCAAAAACTGCATTCCTTGTATAGGCAATGACCAAAGAAAGCACATGATTAAAAAAAAAAGTCTTATCATTTATCTTTTGCATTTGTATTCACAGGCTATTGTTGTATATGTGTATTATGATACAAGGAACAAGAACTTCTAGGTTTTATTCTTAGGTCAGTCCCTGATAAACACAGTATCTGCATGTGGAAAATATCAGGTGCTTGGAAATTCAGAGCTGACACATTCATATCCAGAAGGTACTTATCTGAGCACCTAGTATGTGCCCAGAATTGAATGTTGATTTGAAGACACACACAGTAGCCTGGTGACCTGAATGTCAGCATAAAGAGAGGTAAACAGGACACGTGAAAGGAAGCTAGAGGTTCCCTGGGACAGAGAGGCAGCCCAGCCAGAGCTGCATGAAAGAGTCCCTGCCCGTGGGAGGACACGAGGCAGTTGTGCTTGCTGCTGTGCTGGGGTTCAACTCCATGCCACACTATCCCTCCTCTGCCCACACATCTGTCTCATTCGCTTCTCCCTCTTTCCCTGCCTGCATCTCAGATTACTGCTCTGCCCTGTGTTACCTCTGTTACTGGAGGGTTTGTATCCTTTCCAAATCAGAATGGCTGTGGTGGCCCGGGCTGCAGTGACTGCTTCACACTGTGGATGCGCCTCCCTCAGCCCACTCAAGTCAGCCAGAAGTCACTAAGGCCAACCAGGGAGACGTGGTACAGATAGAGGAAGGCAGTGAAAGTCAATGGCTTTCTGAGCCTCAGAATACGTTGGGATCCAGCACGTAATCCTGGCACTTAAATGGGGACATGCCAGACCCAGCTTTGGGAGATCTAAAAGAGGCCAGCGTATGCCTTCCTTCTGTCCTGGATTTGTGCCCAAAAGTCATCCTCTGGCTCTGAGATGTTTCATCTCTAGAAACCATCTTTTTTTTTTTAAGGTGGAGTCTTGCTCTGTCACCCAGGCTGGAATGCAGTGGTGCAATCTTGGCTTGGCTCACTGCAACCTCCGCGTCCCAAGTTCAAGCGATTCTCCAGCCTCAGCTTCCCTAGTAGCTGTTTTTTTTTTTTTGTTTTTTGTTTTTTAGTAGAGATGGGGTTTTGCCATGTTGACCAGGCTGGTTTTAAATTCCTGACCTCAAATGATCCGCCCTCCTCAGCCTCCCAAAGTGCTGGAATTACAGGTGTGACCCACTGCCCCTGGCCTCTAGAAACGGTTTTAGTCCAGAACTCTGTCTTCAGATAGAATCTTAGCTGATCCAATCTGAACAAATGGGTATATAACTTGTTAAAACCTGCCTGATCTGAGAATCGTTAACTTCCAATAACAGTTTGTTCCCAGGGCTGTTTTTCAGCCAGTACATATCTCAGGATAGCCACGTCACTTATTAAAACACTGAAATCCTTACGCGTGTGTTAGTACAGTGACTGCCCTAGGCCCTCTGAGTGTCCCACTGCCACCTGGACCCCCTCCCTAGGACAGCTTCATGACCCAGCAGCTAAAGGGTTAAGGTTGGCCTCAACAAGGGGACTCATCAGGACCCTGTTCCAGAACCACCATGCCATACCAAAAGTATTGTTACCCTCCACTTGTCCCATTCTACAATGCTACTGTATTGTAAAACGTTCAACTGCTTTCTGTTAGCTACTGAATAAACACCACTCTTCAAGGTTTTTACTGTCTTCCACGCATAACATCATCCTCTATTCTCCTTATACTCTGTTTCACCAAACTCAGCTGTTCAATATTCTCAAATACAAACTTTCCCAGACTCTCAGTCTTTGTGACGTTACTTCTGTCTGGAATAGCCTTTCCGTATCCACCAAAATCTTACCAACTCTTCAAAATCTCCCAAAATGTCACCATTTCCATGCAATATTAGTTGGGAGAGCTGTTCCCCATTTCAAGAGATGTCACAGAAGCATATAGGTCCTATGTTTGCAAAACTTAATGCCTTTTATATTACAACCATTTTGATGTAGATACCTTAGCTCTCCTCCTAGATAAAGCTGTAGATGCTAGAAACCCCATCCTGGTCATCACACCTACCTGGCCCCACACAAGGCCTGGCTCCAGTAGGCGCTAAGTCAATATTTGTGTGAATGAATGAGGGAACAGTCTCAATTCTTTTGTCCATTTTCTATTTGTTAAGGATTTTGGTTGTTTTTCTCTGAAGCCACTCCAGCTGTGGTTATATCTCCTTCTACATATGGAGCCCAAATTGTACATCATCCACATCTTAAACTACTGGGTTATTTCATGAAGATAAAGAAGGAAGCATGCGCCCCTGTCATTACTGGTAACCCTGGAGTTTGTGACTGCCATCTCTCCACACTCTTCTTCCAGCACCAGATCCAGCACAGGGACAGGCAAATGAAAGGTTCCTGGTAACGGAGGCTGGCCTTACAGATGACAGGGAGCTGTGGGTGGTGGAGGGAGTTGGCAGGGATTGCGGGAGAGGGGAGGCGGGGTGGCTTGCTGGAAAGCAGAGCCAACAAGCTGGTTCTGGTTGCTGTGGTTGAGGCCAGGGATATAGGCCTGGGAGGTGCAGTTTTACTACCCTGGTTGACATGCAAGGGTGTGGAGGAGGGAATGCTAGCAACCCCTTTCCACCTCTCCTTTCCTAATGCCTCCCCCCTGGCTCTCCCTCCAGAGGAATAGCTCTGAGCTAGAGTGAAACCTACAGGAAAAGAGGGAACTCTGATGCAAGATATCTGGGCTTCATCACAACAAAAAAGGATGGGAGACAAGGAGCCAGTAACCACAACTCCTGTCTAAATCTCATTCAATAGGGAAATCGGAGTAGAATATAAGGGGACAGCCCAGGACAAAAAGACAATGTAGCCAAAATGATGGCTACATTGGGAAGAGGTGTCACCTCCCAGGCCCCCACCCGCACACCCTCCAATGGAGCTCATCCATTTGGGGCCGAGTGGCCGTGCAGGGGAGAACAGATTCACTGTCTTTCAGAAGGAAGAACAAGGCCCAGAGGAGGGAAGAATTCACTATGGGCAGGCAGATTTTGGTCATCAGAGGAAAGGGCTCTTCTGCGTCCAGCTGTGGCACTGGGGTGGACTCAGCCTTCCTAGTGATGTGCTGAGCTCTCCAGCCCTGGAAATGCTCACGCGCAGTCCAGTCTTAGTATCCAGACTGAAAGACAGCTTGGAGGTCATCTAGACAAATCATTTTCACCTGAGCTGTCCTTTTCCCCTTGATTCCCCAGCTAGTTAGTGGCACAGCCAGTCTCCTCTAACTCACAGCCAGAATTATTTCCATCACCACAGAAAGGTTAGGCCATAAATATACATTTCCAACCCGAACCAGCTCAACGACGGTCCCTAATAATTCCCTCTCTTGGGCCACAAGAGAAGGCACAGCACCACACCCAACTCTGGATAGAGGAGCTGACAGGACTATAGGTCAGAGTGACTTGCTCAGTCACTTTGTCTGAGTTTCCCCAAAGCGGGAGGGAAGTGAAGGCATGGGAGGCCATGTGCCAGAACTTTGAACCTCGGCCCCTCAGTCTTGCGTTGGGCACCTGGCAGTAATGAGAGTTTCTCCAGTCCTTTTCCCAGCTATTGCAGGGTCTTTTACAGCCCCTGACACTGTCAGTTTTACTTTGTTACTCCCATCCGCAGTACGTTGAAAACCATCTCTCACAGCCATACCTATTTATGTAAAAAGGCAGAGACCATGCTCTCCTGTTGTCCTCGGAGGAAACTGAGGCATGGAATTACTAAGTGGCTTTGGCTAAGTTAAAAACAGAAGTAGGAAGCTACCCGCTGCCCACTCCACCGTGCTTTCCACCATCTCCTTAAACTGGAGAGTTTGGGAGATTGCTCAGGGTTCAGATAACTAGCAGAAGGGGCGGCCAAAACAGGCAAGGCAGGGCGCAGCGGGGAGGTGGGAGATTCAGAGGAAGAGGAGTGAAGCGGGAAGGAGAGGGGACTCTCCGAGGTATCCTGAAAAAGAACCCCCCACAAGACGCCGCAGGAGAGGAAACGGAGTGAGCCAAACAGAAGGCGGTGGGCAGTTTGGGCCGCACGGACTGGAGCGCGTGCCTGGGCATGGACAGCCGAGAGCATCCCGCACACGAATCCCCAGCTAGCGCGTGGACCCTGCGAACTTCCACCGCGGGAGCCACAAGCCGGGCACGGCAGGAGGGGCCGAGTCTCTGCCAGCGTCTCGGCGGGGCGGGCGAGGAGCCTCTCTCCAGGTCGCTCGCTCTCCGAGGGGAGAAGCGAGGAGCCCCCCCCGGGATGCCCCGGCCCCACACGGCCAGCGGGCAGGCCCGGGCTCGGGAATTCTGCGCTCGGCCCCGCGGCTTCCCCCGCCCGCCGCTCTCCCCGAGTACGCGCGGGGCGACGCCAGGCACCTGAGGGAGAAGCGGGTGGGAAATCGGGTCTGAGGATGGGATGAGAGGCGGGTCCGCCCAACGCAGGAGCCGCTGCTGCCCACCCCCACGCCCTTCGCCTCCCCTCGGCGCTACTTACTCCGATTCAGGGGGTTCCCGCCGACCTGGGCCGACGCCACCAGTTCCAGATACAGAGTCCAGAGCCCCACGGACACCACGGCGAGCGCCAGCAGCAGCCGGAAGCGCCTCCGCAGCAGCTTCACCGGGCGCAGGAGGAGAAGGAGCCGCGCGGCCCGGGGGCTCCCCATGGCGCTGCGCCCAGGCGGCCGCCGCCGGCGCGGGCTGCAACCCCCGGAGCCGCCGCCCCCTGGCCGGGCCCCGCTTCCAGGGCGCCCCGCGTCCCGGCCCAGCGTCTCAGGGCTCCACCGAGGCCGCCTCCCCCGGCCGCTCTCCGGCAGGGCGCGGGCTCATGCTCCGGGCGCGAGGGGTCCCCGGGCTGAGCGGGCACCCCGCCGTTCTCTCCGGGAGTGGAGCCCGGCTCCTGCTCCGCGCGTGTGCTCCGCGCCGGGCTCTCCTCGCCTCGCCGCTCCCGTCGCAGGCTCGCCGCCGCCCTCTCTCGCTGCGCGCCACCCGCCCTCACTCGCTGCCCAGAAGTAGGCTTCCCCGACTGGGCTCCCGGCTCGGGCCGCTCCGGTTCGCCGCACCTGGCCCGGCCTCGGCCCCGCCCCAGCACAGGTGGGCTCCGCCCCGAGAAGCCGGGGACAAGAAGAGGCTGTTCTGGCTTCCCTAGTGGAGCGAGAGGTGGGGCCAGAGACCTGGTGCCTTTGCCGACCGGGCACGGGTGGGGTGACGAGCGGGTGAGTGATGATCCTGACTCTGGGCGACCGAGGGAAACCGAGTCACCGCCCAGGCGCCTGACGGTGTGGCTCTAAGCAGAAGCGAAGTAGAGGCTGGTATGGGGGTGCCCAAGGCTTCAGCCTCAGAGCCTTTGGTCGCCTACAGCAATGACCCTACCCAGAGTAGACGTGATATTCGTCGGGAGATATCACTGGACACTTAACTCCGACGTAGCTTCGTCGTCCACCGGAGATTTGAAGACCTTTCTCCCCAGCCTGAACCACATCTCCGAGAGGCACCCACGGTGACCCCCAGCAAGCAGTTTTCCCAGACTGGTCAGGAATGGCTGTTTGAAGAGAGTATCTGTTTGGGGGGTTCAAAAAATGAATTTTAAAAAGAAAAGAAAGGAGCTCACTCTTAGAGTTGAAAAGATCACCAAGATAAGCCAGGCACGGTGGCTCACGTCTACAGTCCCAGCACTTTGGGAGGCTGAGGCGGGAGGATCCCTTGATCCCAGGAGGTCAATGCTGCAATGAGCCGTGATTGCGGCACTGCACTCCAGCATGGGCAACAGAGTGAGACCCCATCTCAAAAACAAAACAAACAAAACAAAACAAACAAACAAAAACCCACAATATTCCGCTCCTCTGCCTTGAGGCAGGTAAAGCATTCTTATCTGATTTAAATTAGATAATTAAAGTATCAAGGGCAGAGTGAACTGCCCAAGGTCATTCAGCAGGTTACATTGCAGTTTTCTTTTCCACCGTTCTCTCTTCTGGGAAAAATGGTCAGGAGACTATGGGAAAAGTGAAGGGGTCAAAGTGTTCCTGGACATTTTTCAAGCAAATTAATATCACACAAGTACTGTTCCAAGACAAGTTCTCACAGAATTGAGAGTTACGTTTCCCTTTTCTCTGTTCTCACCGCAGTTGGACATTGTACATCTCTGCAGGACTTTTCCTAATCAGCCTCCCACCTCCAAGCTTCCCATCTCATCCTCTCCACTGCCACCAGATGGCCTTCATAAAAAGCCAGGCATTGGTGACACTGCACCTGTAGTCCTATCAGGAGGCTGAGGCAGGAGGAGTGTGAGGCTGTAGTGAGCCATGATCATGTCACTGCACTCCAGGCTGGGTGACAGAGTGAGACCTTGTCTCAAAACAAACAAACAAAAAAACCTCATATGTACCTACACACCTGCTCAAAAATATTTAATGGCTTCCAATGCTTATTGATTAAGATGCACACTGTAAACCCAGAATTCAAGGCCTTCCAGAACCTTCTCCAACTTTAGGTGACCACGTGAAACCTGCTCCAGCTAAAATGAGTTATTCACTGCTCTCCAACACATTCTCTTTTCTAGTTGGTCAACTTGTACCCTTTCTCCAAGGTCCATTTCAGATTCTATAAAGCTTTCTTGGGCCAGCCAAGTCCTAAGCAACTCCTGCTTTCTTGGAGCTTTAGTAGAACTTGCCATCTGTCTCACCATCTGATATGTTGGAACTCACTTGGAGTGTGTGAGTCTTGTTTTCCTAACCTCACTGTAAGGCTTCAAAAATGGGAGCTGTATTTCCAGTGGGTGGCACAACGTCCATTTAGCACTTAGGAAGGTTTGAGGATGAGGGTAGCACTTTGAGCAAACATCTCCCAGAACTTTCACTGTAGTTCTTGAGCAAAGGGTGGATCCAAAGGACAATTCTCTAATTGCAGGCCCTGGAAAAGGTCTCTGAAGTTCCAAAGACACAGATTCCTGCACTTCTCATGTTCTTCTTTGTTTCCACAAGTCCAAGATAGGAGCAGCCAGCATGTGCACAGCCTGTGCAAGCTCAGCTGAGTCATGTGGGAAGTGACCAGGGCCCCTGTAAATAGAGTCCCTCTCTCATTGAGGGCAACCCAACTGGGTGTTAGGCTGAGTCATTTTAGCACTTTGTCATGGAAACAGGTGGCAGCCTTGCCACAGTTCTCTCCTCAGACTGAGAAAACTCATGCATTCACTTCAGTCAACCAAATGCTTGAAGCATCTATTATGTAGGAACTGGGAGAGATTTAAAACAGGGAGCATGCTGTTTAGTTGAGGAAAAAAGATAGTCGACAGGAAAAGAAATCTGACACTTTAAAGGCCAAATTTCTGGTCCAAACATGAATTCCAGAGGAATTTAGAAGAGGAAGGAGATCACCTTGTACCTCTTGATTTTTTGTCCTCCTCTTATTTCTATTTTGTTTTTATAACTTGAGCAGATTGTAACTTTTCTGGCTTATGGTGAAAGGATCCCAGCTGTCGAAGAGAAAAGAGGCCAGGAAATTAATGTGGCTCTCCTCTCTCCCTCTTCTGTTCCCTTCTCTCTGTGGGTGACACCTTAGAACTGAGATATCCCTCACATTCAGACCCTGCTTGCTCCACATCCGTTTTTGACTCCTAGTGATGTTACAACAGGGGAAGATCTGAATTTTGAGGCCCGAATTTCCCAATTAGCTGAGCTCCAGAACTAAGTATATGGATTGAGGCATCATGGTGGCAAATTTTAGTAGAATAATATATTGTCACCAATGTCCATTGTGTGAATTTACCCGGATACTCACCAGTTCTTTTTATGGTTTTCACTGTCCTTTCACCCTCCCATTTCAGCTGCAGCACCTGACCCAGAATGGCCCAGGGTCACACTGTAAAAATTGCACCCAAAAGGAAAAATAATGTCCATCATACACCTGCAATAATGGTAGAAGGGCCTGGTCTTTGCTTGGCAAGAATATCAGAGAGGGAGGGCAGGTCAAACCATAAAGGTTCTCCCAAATTACAGAGGCTGTAAGAGAGGTTGACTAAAGTTTTCTAAAATGTGTCAAGATTAGCATAGGGATCAGAAAATTCTGATTTGTGGAGAATTCAGAAGGGAAGGGTGTTTAGTGAACTATATGTATGGTGGCATGTATGCAGAGCAAGTCTGATTCTACTCTACAGGGATGTCAAATATACTCAGTAACTCCAGTGCCCCCTGTACCACCCATCCTTTTTCCTAAAACCTGATACCTACATTATCAGGTAGCACCTTTGAGCTTACAGAGCATTTTTACATCTATATTACATGTGTTTTATTTCTCACAACCATATGAGAACAGATGGGGAGGTAGCCTTTGCTGTTTACAGATAAGCTTTGCAAGCCTCAGTTTCTTCACATGACCAATAAATGATAGAATCAGAACCGGAACCAGATGTTTAGCCTGCTGGTCCTCTTTCCATTGTACCCAGAGAATTCCTCCTTCTCCAGCCTGATCTTCCATATCTGCATCCATATTCATACCTTATCTATCTCTATCTCTATGTATCTTATCCCTGCCTATATATACCTGTGCATGTGTTGGGCAGACTGTGTTCCATTACTTTGAGGCAATTTTTAAGAGATAAAAGAACGATGCTGAGGCCAGGCGTGGTGGCTCACGCCTGTAATCCAAGCACTTTGGAGGCCAAGGTGGGCAGATCACCTGAGGTCGGGAGTTTAAGACCAGGCTGACCAACATGGTGAAACCCCGCCTTAAAAAAAAAAAAAAGAACTGTGCTGGAGATAGGCATGAATACCTGCTCCCCAACTGCCAGGGCCATCCTGGCAAGCATTTATTTGTTTCATCTCTTTCAACTCATGCAAATCACGTATCCTGGAAACTCGTTTCACTGATTCCATTTTCCAGATAAAGAAATAGGCTCAGAGATGTTAAATAACTCGCTCAAGGTCATGTAATGTACGTGACCAGTCTCTTAGGGCTCAGACTCAGGCTTTCTAACTTCAGATCCAGGGCTTTTTTCCCTTTGCACATGCTACGCCCCTGGAAGTTCCCCTGCAGAAGTATATTCACTCCGGAAACTCTGAGCTCACCTTCAGCACAACCATAACTCATTCAGCCACATGATCATTCTTCTCAACTTCCCCCTTCCCACCCTCACCGAGGCTGCCTGCCCTGCTCTTTATAGAAGAGACCCTTTTTCCTAGCCCTCCTTCCATGAGTCCATCTTTTACAAATCTTTCTGTATGGTTTGCTGCTATGGAGGCCAATCCAGAAGAGGATGGAAGCCCACACTGAATGCTTCTTATTGGCCACTTCTCTTGCTTTTCCAAACAGTTGGGCTCTTCCGTTTGGTCAATGGAAAGAATGGTATGAGCTCTGGCAAAATCTCAAGCCTCAGTTTCTCCATCTGTGGTCCTAAGTAATTTTGCAAACTAGCCTGGGAAACAGATGAATATTGCTATAGAAGCCTCTCTTTAGAAGAACATGTTCAAGATTGCATGGTAAAAAGTCAAAGGAATCAGATGAGGGGAGTCAAAGGAAAGATGAAGAGAGGGCAGAGAGGTTATGCTGAGGGTCAAAATAAAGCTTATTTTCTGGGAAAATCCCGGGCAATTCACACACTGAGAACCTCTGACTTCATCTCACTCCCAAGCAAGTGATTTGTTAATATCATCCTCAGCAAACCGTGAGGGGCGA